AACTTCCTTAATATTGCTGCCCAAATTCCAACAAAAGGGGGTGAACTGTAATAAGTGGCACAGTAATTGCTACTTAGAATGACTGTAAGGACCAGGAAACATTTCTGGATGCAAATATTAACGAAGTCAATATTGATGGGTATGAGTTCTCATTACTCCTGGAGTTCAGAAGAAAAGTATGGAACGTTTTATTAATTATAATTTATATTGCTGGAGAAAATATTCCCTCTGTTTTATTCCCAGTAAAGCTCTGGGTGATGTGTTAAGAAACAATCTATTTGTTTTGGAGCTTCAGTATAACAATGCAGCTACGAAGTAAAATGTAGGAGGAAACACACTGGGCACGTCCAGATAATTGCATACGTGTGGTTTGCAGCACTGCAAACCACGCGCACCACACATGCAGGTGTTGGCTGCACTGCTAATTTATAACACAGCAGGTTTTTTTTGGCACCAGGAGATCTCAGTATCAAAAAAATGCACAGCAGAAAAAAGCAGGGTGGCTCATGTGGCTGCAGCATGTGCTGCCTGAAACTGGAGCCTGGCTCCCAAAACCCATGCTCTGGCTCCTGGCCAGGCTCCACGCACCCAGAATTTTGCTGCTGGAGCCCTGGGAGGCCTCCAAGGTCCCTGGTAATAAGTCTGCTGGGGCCAACCCAAATGCTGGCACCAGCCTCCCCTACCCCACACAGGGCAACATGCCATGCACCAGAGCTTGCGTGCAGGGGTGTTCCCTGGGGACAGATAGCAGCCGCGCCTAGTTATTGTACTGCTACTTGTCCCTGAGGAATGCCCCTGCACATGTGCTCTGGCACACGGCAAGTTGCCTTGGGTCTGGTAGGAGAGGTTGGTGCCAGCATCTGGGTTGGCCCCAGCAGTCTGTCCTGGGGGCCTCCTGGGGCTGCAGTGGCAGCAGTCTGGAAGCATGGAGCCTGGCCAGGAGCCAGAGTGTGGCTCTGGCCCCAGGCTCTGGTTTCAGGCTGTGCACACTGCAGCCATGTGTGCCGCCCCACTTTTTTTTTAACCATTTTTTTTTAGCTACTGGGATTTCCCAGTATCTAATTGTCGCTCCGCACTGCAAATATGCAGTAGAGAGAACCCTTTCCACATGTGCTGCGTGCATTTTGCAGCACTGCAAAAGCCTTGGAGGTGCTGCAAAGTGCATATATGCACCTGTCTGGAACACCCATTGACAGCAAGTGAAGTTGGCAAAAAAATGCTTGTAATAAAACTAAAAAATAAGGAAAATATATGGTAGGACTGATATTTCTAGGTAGCAATTTGCTAAAAAGAATTCTGCTTTTTTCTTGGTTGGTTAGTTATCAATTTACTGAATTTTCCTTTCATTTCTATTCTGGCATTCTCCAGGTCTTACTCAGCAAATAGGCAGATATAGTACTTTACTAAATCGTTTACCTTAATAAATGTAAGTGTGGGGAGCTTTATACTCCTGGAGTTCTGAATCATTCAATCTGTCCTGTGTCTCTGCTCTTTCCCTCTTCTATCCCCCAGCACCCAGCAAGAAGAACTGACCATTGCAGAGTTCTTTCCTACTCTCATGTGACAGTAACATGAATGAATCACTACAGAGCTCGGCAAAATCATTCCTCCAAAGATAATAGATGAAATATGCAGAGCTGAAAAGACAAGAGATGAACCTTCAGGACTGGTTTTATGCAATTAAAGGGTCAAACAAAAAATACCAAAAGCTAATAAGATTATTGCTCAGCCTCTTCCTTCTCCACACTGGTAGCTTAGCAGAGCCCAATCTCCTTTAGAGTCTCATTTAACTCATTAGATAACCAGAAGTCACCACTTGCTCTAATATAGCTGGTTGTTGAAAGTGGAAGGATGAATCATCCAAAAACAGTGACTTGTTTCACTCTAAAGCCTCCATCCATCCCTTACTTCAAGGAATCAGGCAGCTGATCTGTGACCTGGCTGAATTACGGGCTATGTTTATTGCTCCTTAAATTACGTTTTTGTTTTCTGGCTTCCCCATTTCATTTTAAAATACACCTTTCAGAACAAGCTCTGATATGCACCACATGTAAATGCAACTTACTTTTGTCCCTCCTGTTTCCAGTTTTAGCTTTGTAGATTGCTGTAGGCAATTTCTGCACTTTTCCACTCCTCTAGGTGTAGCTAAGATTATATCTCTCACCCTTGGGACAACCACTGCATAATTTGTCCCATTACCTGGTAAACTCTTTGAGACCGGAGCGGTATCTACTTAAGTTTGTTATTTATTCATATTGTAATTGTGCTCAAACCAAACACATACTAAACCTTACCATGCTGGGCCAACCCAGAACAAGAAGCCCCAGAGACCTAGCAGCCTAAAGTGTCTCTACTCTAAAAAGTTGCACAGATATAACTTAACATGCAAATTTAAACCAAGATGCGTATACCAGGATTACACTGTGTGTGGACATAATTACAGAATGATGAAGTGGTTGGTTTTTTGGTTTAGTTTGTTTCTTTGGAATGTGTTTAAGTCTGAAGAAAGCCTCTCAATCTGCAGTGAGTGAGTCCACATGAAGAATTAGAGCAATTTAACTATACCAGTATAGGTACATTTGCATAACTGGCAAATCTTCCTCACGTAGAAGTGCTCAGTATAATATTAGAAATAGCAAGTGGATACAGATTGAAAAGAGAGCAAAAGGAAATTGTGCAGCAGTGCTAATCAGAAAAACAGCCTGTGGTGTGAGGATATCGGCTCTCAACAGCAAGTTTTCTGCAGGGAACATAGAAGAGTTTTAAGAAAGGATCTGAAAGCTAGCAAAGAAGTGGCTTTGTGGATGCCTTACAGGAGTTCATCCCAAACATGAGGAGCAACAGGACAAGAGAATGAAAGTGTGATTTGAAAATGCCATGTATTGAATATAAAGACTAGCACCATGTTGCAGAAGGCAGCAGGAATTATTACAGCTGCATGGCTGTGGGGAGGAAAGGCGCCACTAAGGACCTTGAAAGTAAAGACAAGTAATCTATGTAGGAAAAGGTGAAGCCAGTGGATGGGTGCAAAGAAAGGGTGTTACAGTCAGCTTGCAGAGCTAGAGAAACTACCTTTGTGGTCTAAAGGGAAAGACAAAACTGCCTGTAACAACACCAGAGAAAATGATGTTGTACTAGTTATTTATGTAGGGATGAGGTTTGGGTTGTCTGATTGGATAAGGAAAGCCTCATCCTAGAAATGCTTTTAGGGTTGTATTTGTATGGCACCTTGCACAACAGAACAATGGCAACATAAATAAGAATATACCTGTACTATAAAATAGTAATTGAAGTATGTTACTCACCCAATGGTACTAGAGAAACTGAAATAAATTAACTTACTATCAGTTCAAGGTGCCTGGGCTCCATTTCCATCTTAAGGTGTTAACACATTTAATGAAGTGTCCATTTACATGACTAATGAAATGTAATGCTTTTACGTGATTATTCCTTTCCCAGCAAGTAAGAATTTCAAATGACGCTATTATAAATTGGAAGTAAAACAAAGTGCAAGAATGCTAAAAACAAAAATCCATAGAAGGTAATGAGCTGCAAAAGAAAAGCATATTAACCTCTTCACCATTCCTTCAAGCAAACTGTTTATTGACGTGGTGTTTTACACAAGCCACTGTTCTATCTTTTACTTAGTTCAAGCTGTGTCTGCTTCTTTCCAAGAGCTGAGGAAAGGAACTTTGTGCCTGAAAACTTGTCTAAATCTCTCCCAGCTATGTAGTTGTACCAATAAAAGATATCACCCACAAAAATCCTTGCCTCTCACAAGTTTTCTGAGTCATTACAGCAACAACATCATTCCAACGCTATTATGCTTAGTGTCTGTCACTATCTAAGCTAGACAGCCATTTTCTCCTTGCAAAGTAATGTAGCAAATGTGTCAATAAAGATCCCATTCTTAGATTTTCATGACTATATAGAGAGCTAATCCACTGATAAATTCAAACAAAGGGAGAGGGGAGCAAATCATAGGAAAGGGCATAGCTGAAACAGAAGTGACACATGGAGTTCGTTTAAAAAAATTATAGCTCACTATTTCTTTTGCTTGTATGTCTGACACATGAAGGATAACTAGGTAGGAATAGCCAGGGCTGCACAGATCACCCTAATTCTGCAGTTTGTTAACTTCTGAATGCTTGGCTTTGCAACCTCATTGTTGTTTTAAAGGAGATTTTGTGTGTAATTTCAGAGGTTTTCCTGAAAAAACAAATTCCTTTCTATGGAATCATCCAGCCACCCACCTGGGTCATCAGCAAGACTGAAGCTCGGTTCCCAGTGCACTGGGATATAAGCACTGTAAGCAATTGAGAGTTATGCAATGGAAGCTGTGTACATAGCAGTGCTGCCTTTGTAGTCTGCGCTGACAAGAATCCCATGCCAACAAAAAGATTACTTCTAGCTATTTGATACAATCAAGCTGTTCCCGTTATTAGACCAGGTAACTGACTGCTCCTCTTGTTACAAGCATCTTTCTTCCTTTTCCTTCCCTTGGTTGGACACGACCACTTCAGGCATCTTGTCATGCTTTATATCCTCCACACTTCGGGGCAGAGACCTTGCCAGTCTTTCTGCTTGTTCAGCCCTTACCACAGCAGGGCCACAACCCATAGCCAACCTGGCCCTACTGCTGCGCCAATGATTACAGCACATTTTATGAATGTTTGTTGGAGATGTGTAAGACTTTATTACAGCACATTTATTTTGTTTATTTCAAATTAATTTTTAATGTTTTAAATAATTTTTAAAATCCACATGGAGCCATAAGAATTATGTTTGAATGCATTTAAGCCTAGGCTCAAATTGATGCATAATAACCAAATGATTCTTTTCTTACGACCGTCCTCTGTGTACTAATTAGCTAGAGTAATATTTGTTTTCCTTGCATTGTAAAAATTCCCTGTCCCCCTAAGACTCCCAATTCTGAAAACACGTATGCATAGACTTATACTTAGACAGCACATCGGTAGACCCACTGAGTACAATGGAACCTCTCATCTGCTTTGAATTAGGGAGATGTTATGTCTTTGCACATCTGATCCCTGTATGTTTTCTCCATTGGTGATAGAGGCGGACATGTCTAGTGGGGGAAGGACATTGCCATGTGAACTGGAGGAAAAGACTAACATAATATTTGGGGGAGATCTGCTGCTCCACTCGAAGTGTAAGCAGTGTTTAGGGGGAGACAGCAGAGGGTCAGTGATCTTCTAGGCTGCTTTAGAGACATTTATTTTAAAACAATCAGGAAGAAGCTGAGTGGGTGGTATGAAATAAGGGGAACTGTGAAGACCAAATGTTTAACTGTAATCATCTGTAAACAGAGTGATAGTAAGTAAATAGTTTCTCTGAATGGAGTAATTAACAGGCTCATGTGAAGAGATGGAAGAGGAGATGGATTCTTGTTCACCAGACTTCAAAGGGCAGGCTGGACAGTGAAGAATTAAGCAGCTCCCAAGGAGGCGACACAGCTGAATGTGCATAAGCCAAGGGCTGTTTAAAATGTCCGGCGAAGGTGGTGTGTAACAGAACAGCAAACCAAACAGCAACCTACCCTGCTGGAAAGAACGGCAGAAGTGCAGCTGCTGGACAGAAATGCAGGCCATCCTCCATTTGGGGTTCATGGCAGAGCAGACAGGGTCTGAGGCATGCTCAAACCTCGTAAGAGAGCAGAGTACGCAAGTTGGTCTTTGCTTTTACAGCTCAAAATAAGATCTAAAAACAGATCAGAAGCAACTGAGGTGAGTAGGATAAAAAGTAATCATGTCTGTTGTTTCTAGTACAAGCTGAAATCCTTCAGCAAGGAGGAGCAGGATTTACAGACTCCCAAACTCTTTTCAAGGCTCCTCCATAAATTGCTGTAATAATTGACTCGTCTATAACATGTGCACTTGGATCGAAATGGTTATTTGAATTCAGAGTTCTAGAAAGGAGCGTTTTCCAGGCGGGCCCACTTAGCAAACACTCTGCTGGTCAGATGAAATGGAAAAGAACTGCAAGTCAGGAAGGAAGGAAACAATCTTTGTTTGTCTCCCAACCAAAGAACTCACACAAGGTTGAAGAGGACAAATCGGAGAACCTGAGGTAAAGCAGCTTGAGAGTCCCAGTGCTCTGGGTGGTCTTTGCTGTTAAATTCGATTAGTGTCATCTGCAAAGAATGTTTTCCTTCAAAACCTGGCTGCAACTGGGGTAAGATAAAGTTTCCCAACACGTCGCATCTACAGTTTAGCATAAGCAGAGCACAGTTGTTAGAATGTGATTTTTTTAAAGTGATTTAAGGTTGCAAACTTAGGACTTGTTCCCCAAACTTAGAGATTAGGGACACAGTCTGGCCTTATGTGAGTTTCTTGGCACGAAGGGGTGTACGTTTGTGCTGGAATAGTAGCTTTAACTTGGACGTGAACTGTATTTCTGCTAGAGCTCTATACTGTGTTTCTGAAGAAGCAAAAAAATAAATAAATCTGTGAGATAAAACACGCTGACCCTGTCCACTGATACTTGCTGTCATGCCCAGAAGCTCCTTCTGAGGCCCAACATACAATGTATGGGTCTGGGAATTTTGATGCTGCCTGAGCAAGATGTCCCAGTTGGGCCTTTGCTCTGTTTGCCAGATATGTACCTCCAGCAGGAACATGGATGGAATAACCCTTGCTCCACTCAAGCATAGGAACTTCAGCTGTGATACTCCCTGGGGTAGAGGAGGCTCTTGAGGTGCATCCCATCAGTCCTGTGTACAGCATGGCCCTAGAGGAACGAGGCAATTGCCCATTACTAACCCTCAATTGTCCCTCCCACAGAGAGAGTAACTGGTTTGCTTAACTGCTTAACCACAACTGTTTAACCACATATTGCATAGTGATTCCATCTCGTCTCCTACAGTTTTAAATCAAAGATGGACTTGTTCTTACAGATCCAGAATAAACACATTAGTCATCTTACCTGGTCTATTTGTCCCAGTTCCACTAGCAGTTTTCCCAGAAATAGGCAGTGTATGACTAACAGCATTTCTTTGGGGTTGGACATTCCAAGGTTGTCTATTCAAGGGAGGAAATGTTGTATTTCAGCAACTTAGAGACGTTGGCTGCAGTTTCTGAAGAGAATGGAACTGCAGTCAGCCTTTCAAAATCCTCATAGGCATGGATGAAAAACAGAAATAATTTTAGACTGTGTGTCTGAAAGGTCAGTGAAGCAATGTTCTTTCCTGGAACACAATGGCATTTTCCTTAGTGACCCCACTTTCCAGTCCAGTGGAGATAAAGCATATTATACAGGAGATCTACTTCACCTTTCGAGAAAGGATACTGCCACTACTATTCTTTAGAAAACCTCTCCCATCAACTAATGCAACTACACCTGTCCTTCACTTTCCCAAGGGCATGGACTTACTGCGCAGCAAAGTAGGGCAGGGCTTTACTGTACGTTAGCTGCTCTGCAGTACTTCCCACATGCACACTGTTACGCTGTGGTAAGAGGAAACTACCCCGCAGGACCTAGGTCCTCAATGAAAAAGGATTCAGGTACTGCCGGTTAGTTTCCCCTTCCCACTGGGTTACATCATGAACATAAGCTCCATGGAGTAATTTACACAGTAAAGCCCTGTTCCCTTCTATCCCAGGGTAAGTTGTTCTTATTCCAATATTAAATTATGTATAAGATGCATCTGTCATGCAGCTTAAGACGTTAAAGGAAAACTGAGCAGGGTCTTGGGCTCATGGTTATGGCACTGGTTTGGGCCTCAGAAATTTCAAGTGCAATTCTGGCTCTGCCACCGACTTACTGTGTGACCTTAGGCAGTCATTTAACATCTTTGCTGCTGTCATCTGTAGAATATGGATAATAACCCTTTCTCTGTCTTTTCTATTTAGACTAGAATGTCAGCTGGAAAGGGATCATTTTTCACTATATGGCTTCTTGCATAACTGGGACTTGAATTCGTTACTACCCTAACAGAAATAGATAGTAATAATGGAGGACAAATGCCTTTTTCCCCAGCACTTTCTGTCAACCAACCCAAACTAACTTTAAATTATCTAGCCCTGGTAACCACAGTGTAGGTGCCAGCAGATTGTAAAACCGTCCAGAGATCCCACCATGGTAAACATACAGACAACTAACTTGGGCTGAACTCCATCTTGCTTTAGCAACATTGCTATCACCACCTGAGTATGTTTGCATAAGCTGCAGTCATACCTTGGCACTGAAGGGTGGACGTATTTATGTTTCTCAGCAGCCAAATTAACCTCCCCTGACAGACGCAGTACTGATGCTCTTGGCAGTTCCTCCCAGGCTGAATTATCAATTGGAATACAAGTTGGATCAAGCATCTTTTTACACTGCTCTTGTTCTGACTGGGAGATGCACAGGGTTGTAAGGATGTTCACATGGCATTTCACCTTGAGTCTGACACAGCTTCCCCTGGAGCCCCTGCAGTTGTCATTGACTTAGATAGAAGCAGGCTTGAGCACTTTATCATGAAGTTTACTGTCCCCTGCAAGTTTGATTTCCATGTGATATACCTGGAAGCTTTCAATTATCACTGTGCCTGTTGACATGGGAAATTGACAAACTGTTATCTCTGTGAGCTTGTCAAATTAAGATTGGTTCCTTCAGATCATGATTAAATTTATGCTGAGCAAGGTTGCTATTGAGTTCCTTATGTTTGATCATAATTTGGTGGAGCTTTTATTTTAATCTCTCCTGTTCCTTTCCCCATCTGATAACCCACTTCTCCTGGCAGAGGGATGCAGCCTGTGTGTTTGCCTTTGCAGAAACCACTGATCTTGCTAGATCTTCCTTTTGTTTTACTCTTTGCCCTCTGCCATTTAGACGACTACTTCCTTTGTAATGGCTGGGGCGGCAGAGACATCTCATAAATTTGTTCTCTGAATTTGAGGGTTGAACCGATAGAAATTTTTGGGGCCAATACCAATGTCCATTGGTGACACATAGGGGGTGCACGCAGGTGCACATGCACCCCCCGAGATTGGCAGTGCATCCCCTGCGCAAAGCGCTGCCAGCAGTGCCAGTGGCACCTGTGGGTGGTCGCCTCTTGCCAGTCCCCCCTTGATGCTGACACTGCTAGGAGTGTCTGTGGGCGGTCCCCGATCAGTGTTGGCCACTGCCAGTGGTGTCTGCAGGTGGTCGCCAACTGCTGGTTGGCGCTCGCTGCCCCTGCTCCACCGCCAACACCACCACAGCCGCCTGCGGGAACTCCCCACTTGGCCCGTCCCCGCTGCTGACACCGCCGCAGCTGCCTGCAAGAGCTCCCCGCTCACTGCCACCACACCCCTGGTGCTGTGCCCCCTCAGCCTCCAGGGGCATGCATCATTCAAGCCGATGGCCGACTTTTAATGAGCCATATCAGCCAATACCAATCCGATTGCCAATATGAAGGTCTGGCTGGTAAGTCTGTTGTGGGGGAAGAGGTGAGGGGGAGGGAAGGAGCATGGGAGGCAGATCGAGGTCCCATTGGTGAAGGAAGAAGTGGGGCTGTGGCTGGGGTAGGGGCTGTGCACCCAGGGAGAAGTGAGGGATCGAGCTGCGAGCAGCTCATCCAGACAGGGGCTTTGGGGGAAGGTGGCTCCCACCACTGAACGCACCTGGGAGGGCATGGGGGACATGTGCCCCCAGATCTGCATGGGGGGCAAGGGCAAGGGCAAGGGCAAGCTGCCGCTGTGGGCTAGGCCAGCATCAGACTCTTCCTGGCTGAGGCTAGACTGGGCTATGCTTGGGGCACGTGGCAGCAATGCTGGGAGCAGGGCTATGGGGCGGGGCTGCAGCCACCCCAAAATTCACTGTAGCCCCTCGCAGCACCACCACCACCCTCCCTGAGCACAGCCCCAGCCCAACCCTCTGCCAGAAAGAACCTGGCACTGCCCCCAGCCCACAGCAGCAGCCTGCCCTTGCCCTGTGCCCAGATCTGGGGGCACATGCCCCCCATGCCCTCCCAGGGTGCATGCAACAGTGGGAGCCACCCCTCCCCCCCCCCATGCCTCCCAGACAAGCTGCTCATGGCTCCAACCTGCACCCTGTCCTGGCTGTGCAGCGCCTGCCCTAACCTCAGCCCCAATCCCTTCCTCACCATGGAGGCCTTAATCTGCACCCCCATGCCCCTTCCCTCACAACAGACTTGCCAGCTGGACCCGGCTGTTCTCCACACTGCCAGGCTGGGCTCCTAGGAGCATTGCATGCACACTAGGAGCATTTATCAGCCACATCAGCCAAAAAAAGCCAATTGACAATACTGTCAATTTTCCTTATATCAGTGCCAACCCGATATGGGACCAATGTATCGGTGCACCTCTACTGAATTTAGTAGTCCTTGAAATGAAGAATAACTAGTAATTCTGGCACCGGCATGAATACCTGCAGCAGAGAGCTTCCAAATCCTACAGGAAACTGTTTGAAAATGTGAGTCCTAACATCATTTTTTTTGCTCTTATATTGATGTGTAGTTAGCTAATTCAAGTCAGACAACATTGACTTCGACCTTCATCGTGCATTGCTATTTCTTTCCAGTAGGTCTCATCTTTTCCCTTGTGTCCTGGTAACAAAGTCTTTCCCTCGGCCTTCCACTCAGAATCTTGGGGGGGCCATTTTCAAAAAGAAGACATTTTTGGACAATTTTCTTCTGCAACATTGGTTGGCATCCTTTTGCTAGAGAAGGTAGATATCACAGCCTACGACATGGATGGTTTTTAGTGTCTCATGTGACTGAATAGTCCAGTCCAAGATTTGCATGATCTGTGGTAGTGGTAGCAAGTATATGTGTCATGATTGGATGGTTTGGAAGCTGCTTGTTTCCTGTGAATTCTTTTTTCTTCAAGCTGTTGGGGCCAATTCCTGTTATGGACTTTAATGTCCTGGTGGAGTCGGTGACACCATTTGTTCCAGTCACTTGCCAGGGTTTCCCATTGGTCAGGATCAATTCCAAAGGTCTTCATATTTTGCTTGTATGTGTCTTTGTAGCAAATCTTGGGATGTCCTGTTGTTCTTGTTCCTTCCAATAGTTCCCTGTGTAGCATGTCCTTGGGTATACATCCATGTTCTGATCTGTTCAGGGCAGTGGTCTCTGTTTGAGTAGAGCTGTCACATTTGGTAAATCTGCCCTTTGAAGAACCTCTGTGTTGGTAACTTTATCTTGCCATTTGATGTTGTGTATGCGGCGTAAATAGTGCAGGTGGAAGCTGTTTAATCTTTTCTCTTGATGTGTATAAGATGTCTATGTTTCCCCACTAGACATGATAGTGCTGAGTACACAAGCTTTGTACGCTAGCATTTTGGTCTTGATGCTAAGCTTTGAGTTGTTCCATAGTTTCATAGCTGGTAGGGTCAGGAGGGACCTGAGTAGATCATCAAGTCTGACCCCCTGCCATGGGCAGGAAAGAATGCTGGGGTCAAATGACCCTGGCTAGGTGATTATCTAGCCTCCTTTTGAAGACCCCCAGGGTAGGAGCAAGCACCTCTTCCCTTGGAAGTTGGTTCCAGCTCCTAGCTGCCCTGACTGTGAAGTAGCGCCTCCTGATGTCTAGCCTGAATCTACTCTCAGTCAACTTATGGCCGTAATTCCTTGTTACTCCCGATAGTGCTTGGGGGAACAGGGACTCTCCCACTGCCTGCTGGTCCCCCTTGGCCTGTTTATAGATGGCCACCAGATCTCCTCTCAGCCTTCTCTTGTGGAAGCTGAACAGGTTCAGGTCCCTTAGCCTCCCCTCGTACGGCCTGCCTTGCTGCCCCCCATACTCTTTTAGTTAGTCTGCTGAAGGTGGTGGCAGCCTTTCTGATATGAACATTACATTTTTCATCCAGTGGAAGGTTGGTGGTCACTGTGGAGCCTAGGTAGCTAAACTTTTGGACTACTTCTAGCTGGTTTTTATTAAGAGTGATAGATGGATCTTTTGGAATTCCCTGTCCTAGCACAACTGTTTTCTTTATGCTGATGGTGAGAGCAAATGCCTGGCGAGCTCTTGAGAGGTGATCCATGAGTTCTTATAGTAAGTCTTTGTTCTGGGCTATAAAGGGCAGGATCATCAGTGAATAGAAGCTCCCTGATAAACACCTTTCTAACTTTAGACTTTGCCTTAAGTCATGACAGGTTGAAGAGTTTGCTATCTGATCTTGTGTGAAGGTACACTCCACCTTCCATGTCTTTAAATCCGTAGTTCAGGAGTACCGAGAAGTAGATTCCAAAGAATGCAGAGGCAAGAACGCATCCTTGCTTCACTCCACTTTTCATCTCAAAGCTGTGTAAAGTGGACCCATCAAACTGAACAGTTGCTTTCATGTTGTCACCCAGGTTGCCCCTCTCAAGTCACACAGTGGTGAAGCCATTACAGATAGAAACATGGTGACATGGCAGTCAGTCCTTGTTAAAGGTTGTGGCTGACCTCCTTCCACTAACACATCTGCAGATGCTACAAAAACAGTCAGGTTCTGATCAAATCCTGGCATCGCTACAGCTGGGCCTCCCTCTTTATGGTTTGGCCACTCTCCAGCACCTGCCTCTCCCTTTCATTTTGACCACTTGGGGTCACATACAATGTTGGTCTGTCAAATTGGGACTGGTTTCTATACCAGGCCTCCAAAAATGTCATGGCAAGGGCCCTATCCTTGGCATCCACTCCCAAAACAGAGCAGGGACCAAGCAACGTCAGTTCAGGCCTTGGTCTGAGCAGGACAAACCCCAGCCTACACACTCTTGCAGGCATCTGCCCTTCCTCTGGTTGCAGGACAGGAGTTCCCATACCCTGGCCCACCCAATCCATTAGCCTTTGAACCTGGACCCTTCCCCACCTGCACAGTCTCTTAATCCCCCTTCCTTCTCCTCTCAAACCCCACATGAGGTCTCCCAGATTCTCACCTTCAGTCCTAACAGTGTGCAGTCCAACTTGTTGTACCAGGGACCGGCAGTCATGTTGCCTGGGGCTTTCTTCTTCAAAGCAGTAGTCTTTGGCAGCCACCTTGATTAAGATTGGCTCTTTTTCCATATGCAGACCACTAGTAGGGAAGCCATCTTGCCAGCTTCACCCTATGAACCAGCACGGGTGGTGGATGAGGGAAAACTGGAGGTGGATGAGAGAAAATTGTCCAAATGTCCAACGCTTCCCAGGCTTTTGTGAGACTGGTAAATATAAACTCTGAAGATCCAGAGTTGGAGTGGGGGGAAGACAGAAACACACACATGCTATGACCCTGCCAGGGCCCAAGTGAAATCAGGCCAGGGTGAGCCTAAAGGGGGAATAGCTCCTGTGTGATAAGAGTCCCGGCAGCAGGGGCTCCCTGTAGATCGCCTGCTTGGTGGCAGTCATGTCATACTCTGCACGCATGTGCATGTCTGGCCCAGTGCATGTGGCGTAATTCTGTTCCAGTGGGTGTAACTTCCTAGTTATGTAGGCTATAGGATGTTCTTCTTCTCCTTTTTTCTGTACCAACACGGCTCCGATAGCCACCTCTGACGCATCAGCCTGCACGAGGAAAGGTTTATTGAAATTCGGAGTATACAAGAGTGGCTGTAGGCACAACACATCGTTCACTGCTCAGAATGCCTTTTCTGCCTCCGGTGTCCATTCCACCTTGGCTGGAGCCCCTGCTTTTATCATGTCTGTCAACGGTACTACTACATCTGCAAAACGAGGTATAAACTTTCTATAATAACCGGCCAGCCCCAAGAAAGCCCTCACTTGCTTTTTAGTACGGGGTGCTTGATATTTCCGCAACACCTCCACTTTACTCAACAATGGTCTCACTTTCCCGCTTCCCACTAGGAACCCCAGGTATTGCATTTCCCTTTTCCCTACCATACATTTCTTTGGGTTGGCTGTCAGCCCGGCCTTTCTTAAATCTCGCAGTACTGCTCTCAGGGCAGTGAGATGTTCAGCCCAGCTCTCAGTGCATATGACAATGTCATCAATATACGCCTTGGCATAACCCCCATGAGGGGTCAAGATTCTGTCCATTAGATGCTGGAATGTGGCTGCAGCTCCATGCAACCCGAGTGGCATTCGCTGAAATTGAAAAAGACCCCATGGGGTGGCGAATGCAGTCTTTTCCTGATCTT